GAATAACTTTTTTTCTATGCTTCCAATCGTAGCTCAAAACGTCTTGTATTATTCGTGCAAGTAATCCGATGCGCGCTAGGTACTTTTTTTGTACATATGAGCTGCAGAACTTTTGTACCAATAAAATGTTTACGTCAGGTGATAGGTTATGATACCTCAAAAAAAGTAATTTTTGAATATTTTTTTGTTTTTACTACTTATATATACCTAGCACGAAGACATTTTATGTCTATTTCAATCCTGTAAAAGCGTTTTTAAATCCGTTCAATCGTTTCGGAGTTATCCATTAGAATGCAAATGTCGGTAATTCCCGACCTTTCAGCATCCTCTTAAGCTCTTTCCTCTGGCATCCCTTAAATCCTTCTACTCCTTGACTCAAAACCATCATACATCCTCTATCCAAATTCCCCCCTAACCTAGTCTGACTTCTCTGTATTGTTCCTTCTAAGCCACACCCCTTAGATTCCATTTTAGTCTCCTTTCGTCCTACGTCAGATCTTCTTCAATTCATAATTCCGTCCCCTTTAACTTTTACTTATTCTCTAAAATCCTCTTTTTCATATCCTCACTTTTTACCCTCTCTATTGCCATGCTTCTCTTCTCCCTTTTACCCGCCTCAATTTTTTTACTTTATTCACCTTCCTTCTACTCTCAATCCTTTTAATAGCCCTTCTACATTTTTTTTAAATCTCTCTCCTCCTCCCTCGTTTCCTTCACTATAAAATTTCTCTTCCTATCATCCCCTTTTTCTCCCATCTTATTTTCAGTTCCTTCACTTTATCCTTCTACTCCTTTCCATTATTATCCTTATTTGCCCCCTTCCCTTGTGTCGTCCTCTTCTTGATCCCTCCACCGTCCTTCTTAACTCTCAATTCCCTCACTTCCTGTTTCAATTCTTGTTCTTATCTTTCTTCTTTCTATTTCCCAATTTTCCTCTTCTTTTCTTTCCCTCTATTTCCCCACCATTGCCCTCTATTTCTTTCTACATTTTTGTCAACTCCATTTTTCTATTCTGTCTTTTGCTTCTCCGTCATCCTTCTTACTTCCTCCTTCAACCCTATCATTCCTTTTCTCATCTCATTTGTAAATTCTTCTCTCAGCTCCTTCACCAGTGCCTTTATCTCCACCCTCTATTCCTCTTTCATCTCCTTCCCCATTGGCGATCTTCTTACTTCTTTAGATATCATATTTAATTGTAAGCTAATAAATTATTTGAAAATTTTTCTAGCTTCTACTGCTCTCTCATGATCTCACTTGATCATACGTTTCTCTATATTCTTTTTCTTTTTTTAATGGTATTTTTCCATCCTTACTTACATTTCTTTCTTTATTTCTTTCTCTTTTCTTTTCTTTCTTTGATCTTTTCCCTTCTATTTCATTTAATCTTCTAATTTTAAATTCTTCCTCCTCTCTTTTCTCTCTCACTCTTTCTTTCTCTCTTTCCTTTTCCTTCTTTCTTTTTTTTCTTTCTTCTTTCCTTAATTATTTCATGACTATTTTTTTATCCTATATTGAATATTGCTAATGAAGCATTACATATGACTCTTATTGAAATAGGTATAAGAAAAAGATAATGTATTAAGTAAATCCTCATTTTAGTGTTAAAATTTTGGAATATTACACCAAATC